CACATTACAGAGAAAATCCCCTAGTTGTACTGTACTAGTATTGGCTGAACTTGCTATTGGGGACAAGTGGTTAAATGAAAACAAAAGCAAGAGTTTGCTAGTAAGTAAAACTCAGATGTGGGGAAAGTCCCAGATCTTCACAAAATTTGAGTTACGTCTTTGTACATAGTTCTTCCTTCCTAAAAGAAAAGAGCAGGTTTGGTGTACTTATAAGGTGATTTTAATAGCCAGTGCGTGAAGGTTTCAGTTTCTTCTATTTTTTCCCTTCATTTTGTAACTAGAGTAAATTCGATCCTTTTAGGGGGGGTTATTTTGGCATAAAAATGCACATCTCAATTTATATCCTCATTGCTGTTGTTTTATGTGTCATAATGTTGTCCTCACATAGAATAACCTGTGGCACAACTCATGTTTGGTGGAAAATCAGAACTGTGAGCATATATATGGACATCCTTGTTCATCACGTACTGCGTGAGGCTGACTGCAGAGAACCATGGCTTTCCCAACCAGGTCCAGGAGTATATGAAGCTAGTAAGCAGAAGTCAGAGCACCAAGGGAAGCGCTTTTAGGCAGAAATGAATAGCGTCTCAGTCCAACTCTTCCTCTGGACTTAGTGCTACACCTACCCTTAGAAAACTGATGGTTTGGGCCATCGTATTTTGTTAAACTGGAATAATTAGGAAAGTAGAATGATAATTTCTACAGAATACCAGTACTGGCTAATAAGACAAAGCCTTGAAAAATATTTTCATAAAGTGCTGCTATACAGAGTGCACATTAGTAACATTTGATTTATAACAAATGGCAGATTGTCATTTTGAATATAAAATACTTATGAAAATGCAAGTGAGACAAGAAATTGACTTTCATTAGTGTTTTCTTTGTAGTGCAGAGGACCAAAAGGGACTGCCACAGTTCCTGATGTTGAACCTGAAAAGTAAACTACCTTAGTTGTCTGTCTGTCTTGTTTTTCCCTTCAGAGAACAAGCACGCTATCATTTGAGCCAATAATAACCTCAAGCATTTGTATTAATGTTTGCTCAGCAACAGTGTGAGGCTTAAGAAGCCAATAGAAAAGCGTTGTTCTGCTGCTTTACATATAGTTCATTGTGTATCTGTAATTTCCTGTTCACCATCTGGGAAAGCCAGAGGCAGCTCTTTCGATAAGAGGCACTAAGGTTCAAACTATCTGTCTTTTGAATGTAGATTCAGACTATTTGCAACTGAACAAACTGGTACTTCCTTCATTGTAATATGTTGTGGGTTTCCGTTCCATGCTCTCTCCTATGTATACCGAAAGCAGCGCAGTCTATTTACAAAAAATACGCCAACCAACCAAGCAGGAAAAAAGAAAAAGCAAAACCCTGTATATTTTTAAGCTCCTTACTGAGTCGTAGGAAGCTAGAAATTCTGCTGCTGAATTCTTTAGGGTATGTTCTAAGAGAGAGAGCTTTAAAAAAATCACTAAAATAAGGAAGATGAACTGCATTTCACGCTAGCAGCAAGAATATTTGTACTTGACACAAACTCTGACTGTGCCAAAGGTTTAACAAACTTTTGCTTTTGTTTGAAGTTCAAAGATATTTTTAAAAGTTTACGGCTCTTAATTCTTTTTATTAATTTATTTCATCTGAAATTTCATTCACTTCATTGCATGTTTTTGTTAAATATAATTCCCTGGTTTCATTCCATGAAAGCTACAATGACTGTCATCATTTAGACAGCTGTAGATAGATAATTTCTGCATTTAGAGGTAGAGAAATATAGGAGTTGGAATTATTGCAACCTGCCACTGTAATTACTAATCGGTTTTACTTATTACATGGATGCTGTATGCATGATAGATTATTCTTTGAGTAAAAAATCTAGGTGAGCAACAAATATATATTTTATACTATATAACTTCAAAGGAGTTTCCTTCTTAGCATGGACATTTAGGTGTCAAATGCGGGGCCTGTTAAAATTAGTGGGAACAGTCCCACTGATTTCAAGTAAAGTCCAATTTCAACCCATTTATTTAGGACTTCATCCAGTGTTGACTTCAGGTTTTGGTAGTGATTTGTGAAACAAGGACACTGAATGAAATGACTAATCTTACTCACAATTAAAGTATGTGCACATCTGTACACATACATGTGCAAATCTGAAACTATTGAGAGGTATGTTTCCAAATGTTGTATGGAACACATTTCTAAGTATCCTTCCAGTTACAATGCATAAAATTAAGCTATCTTATAATAATAAAAGTAGTTAACTTTACTGGAAAAATTTTGAGTGCAAATTATGGCTTATTATCTGTGCTTCTTATTCAGTTTGCTAGTAGGTTCTTTTCTACAAAAGGCAGGCAGGCATTTTCTAAAATACTGAAGAGAGCTGGGCAGGCTGCATTGAAATTAGGAGCCTAGCTCCCTTTGATGATCCTAACCAAGATGCTCTGGCCTGAGTCTAATTTTATGGTAGTTTTACACCTCTATAAGGCCATTGACTTTGCTGAAGTTTGGCCTGACTTAACAGCCATTTCACTGATCTGATACAAGTGTAACTGAGCATCCTGAAGCTGCCCTGATGGTGACAATGTGATCTCTAAATTAAATAAGAGTTTAGAGCCACTTCTGCCCCCTCCTAATCAGACCTGTAGCAAGAGCAGCTTGGCTGGAATGAAGGGTTTGGCTCAGTATGTCCATCACATAAAGAGCTTAGATGAATATTTCTAAAGCTTTTTAATCATGAAAGAGTACATTGTCTGTATTTCCTGCAGGTCTGCTATGATATTTTCTTTGCAATTTTAAGCTTTCACCAATTTATCCAGTACATCTGACTTTTGTGCTCCTTAGCTTTAAATCTTAGAGTAGGTCTGAGGGTCATTGAGAAAGATGAGCTGTTTGAAATGCAAAGTGCATGTTTGATTCAATAAAGCTTCTCTGGCACATTTTTTTCTTTTCCTAAAGAGGCATCCATGGGTGGGTATAATGCTGTAAAATCCAGATGTTAGTTTTTTATTGAATCATACACGTCTAAAGGAAATGTAAAGTTTCTTTTGAGAGAGTTTATGATATTCAGTAAAGTAAATATATACATAGTATTAAATTAACTTATTTTTGTAGGAAAGTCACCTAAAGTATACTTGAAGTAAAGGGAAAAAGTTTTTTCATCTCATCCAGACTATATTCACATAATGCTTTTATGACAGTTGTATTTCACTGGCTGATGTTTCCTGTTTTAGACAGACCTGCTCAAACAGTGACCACACAATCTCTGAAACGGCAAAGGCACACTCATTTTCATTGGTTTGAAAACTATGACAGATATAAACTTCTCAAATGATCAGCTTGGTGTTCAGCTCTTTATGTATAGGGTTTTTTTTCACCATTTTAACAACCAGGATATGACTATCATAGGCTAGGTACAGAAAGTCAAAAAGCTTGAGGTAGAATCGATCTAAGTTAGGTGGTTTTCTGTTAGTGGAGTAGTTTAGATCAGTAGTGAACAGAACATGCATGCACCCTGGGGGGTGGAGGGAGGAGACAAATATTAGACTGGGTCCTTACATCTATTAACCAGTCTGTGTGCTGAACTTCTGTTCTGTTACAGGTATAATAGATTGGTTTCTGATCACTTAGTGATCTCTGTAACTGGCCATAAAGTCATATGTAGTTAATGAAAGTATTTCAATATACTTTAGGTGGCATCCCTTATAGAAGTCAACTAGTTTGTATTTTGTTCCACTAAAATGTATATTGGGAGTAGTGAAGAAAGGCAGCAAAGAGATTATCTTAGTCATTACCAGATCTTCATTAAGGGGTTATCTGTTCTCATTGCTTAAAACTGGTTTTGTAAGTGACTGGTATCTCAGATTTTTGGCCTAATTTGAAATAAAAGGGTCTTATTTTTCAGAAGGTGCTGTGCTCTTATCATCTGAAAATGGCACTTCTTTGAGGTATCTTATTTTAGGCTTCCAAAAATTGAAGCACCAACTAATTGCTTTTTGAAAATCTTGGCCTTAATACATAGTTGCATACTCAAATATCTCCACAAATCATGCCCAAGACTATCAAGTGATAGACTATTTACTTGATTCCAAGATGATGGGTTCTTTCCCCATTCATCATGGGGAAAAAACAAAGCCTTGTCTTAGAATTTAGTATCAGACTACTACAGCTGTGAGCTGTGGAAAGTGTCTATACAGGGAACCCAGCTGAGCCAGAGATAGCATCAGCAGCATGCAGATTCCTGCTTTCAGCTTGGCTCCCTTTCCCTTCTTTTCCCTCACTGGCAGGGAGCCAGATGGGGAAGGAAGAATCTGTTCACTGCTGCTGCTGCAGACTCCAACCAGACTTCAATCTCCCTACAGCTCCCAGTTGGAGCAATTTGACTCTCAGCTGTTGCAGGTACAGGGGAGCTCCAGAGCCACTTCTGCGTCATGCTGTAGGGAGCAGCTATGCAGGGAGCCCAGCTCAGCAGCATGCAGATTCCTCCTCCCAGCCTGCTCCTGGCTAGCAAGTGAGATGGGAGGGAGAAGGGAGTAGGAGAGGAGCCGGGCAGGGAGGGAAGAACCTGTGTACCGCCAAGCCAGGTTCCCAGCACAGCTGTTTCCTGAAGCATGAGTAGCGTTACCATATGTCCAGGTTTTCCCGGACATTTCCTCTTTTTGGCCTCTTGTCCTCCGTCTGGGCGGGCTTTTTAAAATGCATGCAAATGTCCAGGTTTTTGCTTTGCCTCTGCTTTTGCTCATGGCTGGGGGCAATGGAAAGCTGATTGGCTGTTGGGAGATCATGTGCTCTCCGTGTGGGCCCTGGCAGCTGCTGGAAGGTGTGCGCGCGCGCGTGCGCACATGTGCGAGCAAGCTGTTTGGACAACAGGGCTGGGAGGGAGCAGGGGCTGTGGGTCAGAAGTGCAGGACACCAGCAGTGCTGGAAGGCAGGGGGCTTCGGGCCAGGACTGAGGGGCACCGGTAGGGCTGAGAGGGGGGCAGGGGGCTGCAGGTTGGGAGTGCAGGGCTGAGGGGCTGTCAGGAGTGAGGGGCACCAGCGGGGAGCAGGGAGCTGCAGGTCAGGAGTGAGGAGCACCAGCAGGGCTGTAGGGGGAAAGGAGCTATGGGTCGGGAGTGAGGAGCACTAGCCAGCATTGCTGGGAGTTGGGAAAGGGGCTGCAGACCAGGAGTGAGGGGCACCAGCAGGGCTGGGGGGGGCAGGGGGCATATCACTGCCCTCCCCCCACACAATCATATACCTCTTCCCTCCCCTCCCAGGTGTCCTCTTTTTGAAATTGGAAATATGGTAACCCTAAATGAGGCAAGAGTGCCTTGGGGCTTCCCCTGCACTTGGAGCAGGGGGAAAACAGTTGATGAGGAGCAGATGAGGAAGCAAGTGGTGGGGGGCAGGCACTGGGTAAGCATGGTGGGGTGGCTTAGGCTGCCTGCCACTGCTTTCCTCCCACCTGCCTCCCACTCATGCTTTCCCCACTGCCTGCTTCTCTCCTTTGCTTTCCCTGCCATCTGCACCATCTCTGCTTTCCCCGCGCTTGCCCCTACCCTCCTGCTTCCCTCCCTACCCCTCTGTCCCTGCTTTCCCCACCATCTCACCCACCTAGCTCCCCACCTTTGCTTTCCCCCTGCTTGTCTTTTGCCTCTGCTTTCCCTCGTGCCTGTCTCCCCCACTGCCCATCCTCTTACCTCTGCTCCACACCCCCTATCTGCTTCCTGAAGTGCTTGTTTCCCAGGTGCTGCTTTCCTGCTGGGGGGGGAGGTGCAATATAAGACAATCCTACAATAATTAGATTATCAACATGGAAAATTTTAACGAACTTGTGATTTTCTATGTCGAAAATCTAATTATTGGAGGAGTCATATTAAATGGGGGAGTCATCTCAAATTTTCTTGGATTCAGGTAAATATGATCTTAAACTTCTTTTTTTGTTGTCTATAAATGTTTAGTGTTTATAAAGAGCTTTGAACGGGGACCTGGGTCTTACTGTGACCTTTCCATGCCATTATTACCCAGAGTTCACCCTAAAGTTGCAGCTTTTTCTGCGCTCCTCAAATAAATTAAATACTAGAATGTGTTCATGTCAGAGCCTTCTTTCTGTTTTTTGGAGTTTTTTTGCCACTTGGAATAAAAAAATAGTCTCTTAGTCCTCACTGCTGATGATTTTATCTCATCTTCCCATGATTTTCAGATTTTTCATAAAGATTTCCTAACCTATAACACTTATGCAGGACACGTTTTGCATTAAAACTAAAGCTTGTGGTAAATATTATTTTGTAGAATTAGAAATTAAGGTAAACATTGCAGTTTAGTCTGCAGCTGTAAACATGTTTTTTCCCTGTATGTCTGAGAGCTTGTTTTTCTAAGAAATTTTATTATGCAACTTAGATTGTGAGATATTTTTGTTGAATTAGAATAGGAATAAGTTTGCTTATGCTCAAAGGCATAGGCTGGCAATAAGCCTGTCTAGCATGAAGTGGATGTAAATAAAATAAGTACCAAGTGTATCTTCTGTGCACGTGCACTATCTTTCTATGCATGTGCACTGATATGCAATTATCCACACATTACAAATGTAAAAATTAAGGAAAAAAGTGTATCAGCGTTCCCTACAGAACTTCAATTTCTTTCCTATTTCCAGACATCCCCTCTAGTGCTTCAGTTCTCAAAATTCATATTTCACCTTCAATAAAATTATATATTTTCTCAAGCATTTTCAAAGGCAGAGTATGGCTAAGCACAGAAGTTGTACATAAACCAGTTTAAGTGATCAGAAACTGGTTTAAACATGTAACAGAACAGAAGTTTGGTGCACATAAACCAGTTTCAAATGGCTGAAACTGGTTTAAGATAAAAACCTGGTTGAATGTAGTATCAGACTTAATTGACTTAGGTCAAATCAGTTTATGAAACTTCTGCCCCAGACCGCTTCCTGGTTCATGTTAAATTAGAGTCCCCCAGCATCCCAGCATACTTTTCAGCCCTGGGCTGGGCTGGGCTGGGCTGTGCTGTGTGCTTCAGACAGCATGACTGGCCCCACCCCTCTGCTTCCTAGGTGGAACACTGAGGGCTGGATCACTGCCCCATCCCCCCAGGCAAATCTCAGCTGAGGCTTGGGGTCAGGGAGTGGGGTTAAACTCACCTTCCCTTGAGTACACAGCTTCCCTGCCCTGCCCTGCCCTGCCCTGCCGGCTTACTTAATGGCTGACTGCAGCTCTGAACTACAAATCCCAGAGGTACCTGGAACCAGGAAGAGGAAGTGATGATCAACCCTGCACAGTCCTGCTGCCGTGATTGTGGCCTACAAATCCTAGAGACCTCAGGGGCAGCAGGAAGAGGAAGCAAACACACAACCCATGCTGGCAATGTGCTAGAGAGCCATGTTCTTAGCCACCTGGTTTCTGGCTTGACCCACTGCAGGCATGTGGCTACATTTCCTGAATCACAAGTGAATGTCTGTTCATTTGCTTCTTGGTTCAATCTTTGCAGTTTAGACTAACCTGGAAAGACTAAATCAATTTAGCCTCAGGATTTTTGACCATCTGTACTTAGCCTATGAAAATAAAAACTAGCTTGTAAAGAAATGCAAAGTACTGAACTGGCCTGTTTTTTCATTTCTGAGTTTGATTTATGCTGACTGGATATGAAATGTGGAATTGTCCTAAAGAGAATTCAGTAACAGGGCAAACAATGACTACATTATTGTCTACCTCAGGGATTCCAATAGGAAAGATCATCTAACATGTAAGAGGAGGAAGCAGCAATGACTGTAGTTAAGATTGTCCAACATTTTCGCTTATAGGGTAACTTCTTCCTTTTACCTTCACCAAACTTCAGCTGTTTGTGCTCAGATTTCTCATGTGGGAATTTCTCCCCAGGCTGATTTTATTTTTTGAGTGCTAGGCAGGCAGGCAGGCTTGACCTCAAGTGGCTCAGTATGAAATGGTTCAATAATGTCCCAGTATGACATTGGAGGGGTGGGGGGATATTTCATCTTGCTCAATTTTTAAAAAAAATCTTGCAGGTGTTTCTCTGAGTGGCACTAATGTTTTAGTGCGTTGAAGCAGCTACTTACAATTTACATGGTAGTTGGTGGGATTACCTAGTCATGACTATGCCACTTCTCTGACCCCCACATCATTTTTGTGGCTCTTCTGTGCACTGTCTCCATTTCTCTACATTCTTTTAAAAATGTGGATATCAAAATTAGATGCAATATTCCAGTATCTCACTAATGCTGTATACAAAGATAAAATCCTATCATTGTTCATACTTGCCATTCTTGTTATCTGTTGCCCCTTCTTTTCATCATTTGTGCACTTATGCATCTATATGTGTGTGCATGTGTGCACACACACACACACACACACACACATTTGCTTGGTGCAGGACACCCTCTTGGAATACAACCCATGTTTGAACCTAAACTTTGTGAATGATACAAATAACATTTAATACAATTTTAGATAATAATGGCCAGAGCTGACCCGAGCAGGGTGTGGGGCCCGGGGCAAATCAGCCCATGCAGGGCCCCACCCCTGCTCCAATCCCATGCATCCCAAACCCAAAGAAGCTGCTGCTGCCATCTGCAGCAGCCGCAGGGGCGGTGGGGAGGGGAGTAGCGAGTGGCTGGACACAAAGGTGGGGGCACGGAGTCACCGTGGTTGCTCCACCTAGCTCCATGGAGCCTCCCAAAGTGCAGGGCCCGGGGCAGTCGCCCCAATTCGCACTCCCCTTAGGGACAGCCCTGATAATGGCTTTTACACACTGATAGTATTTTTCTTCAGATTGTTGGAAAGATAATAGCTATTCCTGACAACACCCTTTTAAAACTGGAAAGTATTGTTACTGCCACTTTGGAAGATAAGGAAATGGAGTGAAGGAAACTGTCTTGCACTGTATTGTCTTCTCAATACTGAGAATTATCTCTATGAGGTAGATGTCCTTAAATTCCTGAGTCTCACAGGTAGGCTCATGTCACTAGACCTCTTTTTTAAAACAAAGGCTCAGTTTAGCGAAGTATTTTACCTACAAAACTTTAAATATCAAAGATGATATTGGAACTAAATTATTGGATTTAAATTACATTTGTTTTAAAACATCTTTGGAGGGAAAAGAGTAAACATGAAATGATAATAGTGCTTGGGGGATAGAAGCGTGAAAAAGATTTTAAAAAAAACAAACAATTTGCTTGTGTCAAATGTCTTTGTATATTCATTTTTTCCTTTAAATATATCAAGTCACATTCTACACTTTCTCATTGGTGCAAAGTGTGTTAACAATATTTTGGTATATTAGGAAGAAAGACATCATATTTTTTGCCATATGCATACCTTTAGAGAAAAAATACATGAGAATGAAGGACAGAGGAAGAATATATGTCATTGCTACATGTATTTGCTGCACCTGATACCATGGAGATGAATTACGGAGATGAACTACATGAAAATCAAATGACCTTCATTTTAATTTGTTCTCTGGAATGGGAAAAAAGTTCTAAATGTGAATGTTGGTGTTGCCCTGTGTAAAATAAAAATAACAGCAATTTCTAGTTTAATATTTTGCACACTACTACTTGCAGCCCCCAAAACAGAAAGTTTTATGTTGGATTTGCATTTACTGCAGTGAAGTTCTTGTTAAAATTTGAGGGCTGAAAAATGACAGGAACATCCTGTTGACAAAATGAGTTCTTGAGATAGAATGTTGACTCAAACAGCAATAGCTTGCTTGTTTCACAACCTCTGAGAAAGTATTTCCTAATATTTTGACACATGCCATGTTCCTGATCCCAAACTTGTACTCAAGGAAGTTCCCATTGCATTACAAATCTCATTATATTGCCTTTTCTGATATGTTTGTCCCAGTAAAGGAAGTAAGACCAGGCTAAGAATTCTAATAGGTAGGACTGATTTAGCCATAAAATGGTCTCTTTGTTTTAGAAGTTTGGTTAGGGAAATGATGGTTTTTGGTGTTTATTTCTTTTGAAAATTGAGGGTTGATTCTTATGAAACAGAGATGAATCAGTTTTTATGGACTTATTTGATCCTGACGTACTGCTGTGGATAGACAAGTAGTTTTTTGGAGATGGTGTCTTGGCCCAAGACTTGTGAATTGAATGTACAAACTTTCCATGCCAGGGTGTCATCCACCTCATCACTCAGAGGTGGAATTTTCCTCCCTCTTCCAAAGATATGGTAATTCAGCCAACACTGAAGAACCCACTCTGGATCTATTTGATTTAGCTAAATGTCAAACCTCCATTCCTGAACAAGCTCAACATGACGCTAGCCTAAAGTAACCTGCAAGCTCATTTAGTCAATGCTAATATCCTAGAGCTATTACATAACAGGACCAAGAAGCACAACCACTATGTAAGCAGACAAGGTTGCATACTAAAACATAATAAAGTAAGGCTGAATCTTGAAGAATTTATTCACTCTTTCTCAGTAAACTCTCACCGAAGCATATGAGAGATTGCTGGATAAAGACTGAATAAAAGGTGTGCATTAGGGTTTGAATGTTCATATTCTTCATGGATTCCTGAACAACAGGTAGTTGTATGCTAGACTTGGCACTTCCATTCCGTGTAACTTTTGTTTTTGCTGAGGAGGAAGATTGCAGCAAGCTTTTAAATATCCATTTTGTATATGCCTGTGTATTCATAGACTGAACCCCTCAGGGTGCATACAAACAGTCAGGGAAGTTAGGGGGAATTTGTCTTGATCTAAGGTAAGTCAGGATGTGGGGGTGGGGGGCGCTATCAGGGAGAGGTTTGGGAAGATGGGGTGCCAATCAGGGTTCAGTTGTGGGGGTGGATCCAGGGAGCAGACAGGGTCTGCAGGGGGGGATTGGGGGATAAGGGGGGCAAGTGCCCAGGAGGTATTGAAGAGGCAAGCAGGGTC